TCAGGACTTAGCGCATGAATTGGCAGGTGGGGTTTGGGCTCTGTGTACTTGGGAGGTCTACTATCTAACTGCGCCAAAATCTGAGAAGGGTCCATTCTGCCTTTCCACTGCCTTTAAGGCTTTGAAAAAACGAAAAGGGCTGAAGTTAGCGTATATCTATCCCGCAGACTGGCCATCCAGATGGAATCTTTATTCTCTTTTCATCTCATTGCAGTCATTTTCTAGATGAGTTTGTTCGGAGGTAAGCCATTGTTTGGCTCTACGAGCACTGCCACTACATCGTCAGGCTTCACGTTTGGAGCTACCACTACAACAACAAGCGCTCCTTCGCTGTTTGGCTCCAGTTCCACTGCCACGTGAGATTTTATGACATTTGCGATTCTTACGCAGTTTCTGATTAGTGATCATAAAGGCCGGCGTCAAAGCCGTTGTTTGGAAGTGTGCCCCAATCAGGCACTACCACTTCCCTGTTCGGAACCACAACTACCACATCTGGAGGACTTTTCGGGAGTAAGACCACGACCACTACTACCGCCTCTGGTGGATTGTTTGGTTCGAGCACTTCGGGAGGATTGTTCTCAAAGCGTAAGTGAAAATTTGTCAAGCATACTATTTCGCTCTTCTTTTACCTTCTATGGTTAAAATTTAGCAGCAACAACTGGTTTTGGGAGTACCGGGACTGGACTTTTTGGCTCAAAGCCATTGGGTGGTGGTTTATTTGGTGCTGCTGCTACTGCCCAGCCAGCCACTGAGACCAAACAAACAGTTCAAGGGATCTTGCAGGTGCACACTTGTTTTTTTTTCTTTGATTTTCTTATCAGTCCCTTTGATTAGGAATAATAACTTGAGATGACGCTCGAACTTGATTTTTTACGGATTTTGCTTTTTTGAGGCAGTTTGAAGAATTTGTAATGAGTTTTTCTTATCTTCTCTAATAACTTTTCCTCAGTTGTTTCACTATTGTGTTTCATCTAAGCAGAGTGACCATATATATTGTAGGAATCTGATGCGCTCGTTAGATCGCTGACAAAGGTGGAGCTCTTTGGTGATGAGCGTGACGAGATGGTAGCGAAACTCAACCAGTTAGCGGCTGCTCTGGGTACTGGATGTGGTTACTACAAGGATGGACAGCAACCTGTACAATATACACAAGGAGGACCGTTTCACCGCATCAAGGTATGCTTCTTTTTCCACTCGCGTTTATTTTGTCATAAGCTCACGTTCGTGGATAGAATGAATTGCTCATTCCAGGCGATCGGCTATAATCGAGCTTCCGAATACTCAGATTCGGATGGTATCGTTGCTTTGGTGGTGAAGGCTCCATTCACGGAGTAAGTGCTATTATTTACTATTCCCTTTCAAAAGAGATCTCCTTTATTTACTTCTAGCTATCAGACTGGTGAGCAGAAACAGAAGTTTGTCGATGCACTTTTCGTAATTCTCGGCAGCAAACCTACTATCCATGCTCATATTGAGAGCATAAAAGCGCTACCTGATAATCACACCGAGGTTCGCAAAACATTTGTGCTGCCGTTCGAAGCTCAAGCCTTATGGATCGCTGTTGCAGATTTGTGTTTACGTGACCGAGAAGTTTCGTGGACGTATCTCTAGCAAAGAGCTGGCGCAGTATTTCAATCAGGCTACACAGAAGCAGCAGCTAGAGAGCCAGTTAAAGGTTAGGCATTCGACTGTTTTTTTTTTGGTTCCAAAAGTTTGAAGCATTTTCAGGTGGATAAAGAAAAGATTATTTCGCGGGTCCATATGGATAAGCAACAAAAGGAGCTTTATCTGAAAGATCCTCCTACAGGTAAGCCTAGTTCACTTCAGGCAGTCTTTTTTACTTCCATTATTTTTGTCTTTTTCGTTCAAATCCATGATGTTGTGTTGCTCCACAAAACCTCATCAAGCGTTTTGAGTTTTCTTTCAAGACACAAATAATGTATGGCTGTGAGCCATCTGTCGTGTCAAATTACATCGCTTCCATCTTTTCAAGAATGAGAAGAATCTATCTCCATATGCGGTTATTTTATTTCCGCCTCAGTTATTCAGTGAACATCGGTAGTACCTGTTTTTTCGAACTCCTAGAGTATATCGTTTTACTTTCAACGAATACTGCAAATTTTCTCACTTTTGCATGTCAAGCTTTCTTTACATTCATGCTACATGGACATGTTCATAAGCATAAAAAACAACTGGTGTTTTTGGCATATTTTCAAGTCTTTACTAAGTTTTATGCTTTATCAGCTTTATGTTTGTTATATGAGTGTTCTGCATTCTGTTTTTTGCGACAAAACGCTCAACTTTTCACCTGTTCTACTTATTCTTCCATATTGATGATTGTGCTTCCTCACCATTTATCTTGCCTAGGATTCGATGCATCATTATGGGCGCAGGCTGTCCGAGAAAATCCGGACCCTGAAAGATTGCTTCCGTATCCGATTCGCGGCTTTGAGCAGTTGAGAATGAGGCAGAAGGCGCAGATCGAAAATGTATGTTTCGTAGATTGTTTTTTTATTATCACTCTACTTTGGATTAGGCCCGATTATGTCTCAATAGTTCTTTTGATCTATTCTTGTCGTTTTTTTCAGTCTCACAAATCATGCTTCCAGATTCGGATTGAGAATGCTGTGGTAGAAGCGATGAAAACTCGTATAGGTAGACTTGAAGCGAATGTAACGGCTGCTGCTGTGCAACTCGCTCAACAAAAAGTTATCCAGCAACGATTGTCACATAGGCTTTTGAGGTACTATTTTTTT